TGTTAGATAGGTATAGCCCATTGGTGAAAAGATGAAACTCAAGTTCGCGAAGAAAATATGTCCCAGCACTACTCTGACCATCACAAATTCCTTAATGACAGCCATGGAATTGACTTCCGGTGACTGCCTGAGCTGCAGCTGATGACTTCTTAAATCAGTAAAAAGTTAGGTTGTTAACTTGTCTAAGTACCATGGAGTATACGTACAGATGCATCGTGGAGGTAGAGCTCAAGGCATTCTGGGTTTTGGGATTTTACAGAAGTAATTCCCTCCCTACTCAAGCCTCCTTATACTTACCACACACTGAAGAGGATACTAGGCAGACTTCGGAGCCTTTCTGTATGTGATGAAAAAGTGAAAAATCCCAAAGGCCCATCTCAGGACTCAAACTTCGACCTTATTTGGTGCCACACAGATTGAATCAGTTTAAATAATGTATGACCCGAATGGACCGCAAACTACAAAATTATAAGTTATTAAAAAATAAGTTGCAGGGCCGACCTTCCTTTAAATGTGTCCAATTATGTAGAATGCCTCAATCAACGTAGTCATATATTCTTTCTATAATTCTGAATAATACTGTAACGTGATGGCGTTATATACGGGGTTTGGAGTGGTGATTGGATTCATAGACCACTTACAGATGGCAACTACAAATAATTATAATGCTCTTGCGAATTCATGCACTCATCTCTTCATTACAGCATATACTAAGTCTTTTCAGTTTGCTGCGTCTTCATCGGTCATTGCTTGGTAACGGCTTCCAACGGCAGATGTTTCCCTTACTCTGGGTTCCCAAACTATCCCAGTACCTCAGCTATCAGCTTCTAACAGCAACAGCCCATAAGGGCTGAACCTCAGCAGTTCTCTAACTTCCTAACTCACCAACCAACCACTTCACTTCACTCAACTGAACGGCACTGAATAACTTTCACTAACTGTCCCGGTTATAACACCTCAGCACCAACAACCATCGTTATTACTCAACTGAGTAACACACACACTCAACTAATCCAGCATTGTAGAAATATTCAAACCAATGGAGCACACAATAACAATGATAAAAACATTACAATGACATCCATAAGAATGACACTAAACAACATGCAAAACACAGACGCCATCAGAGGAAAACAGCACAAGAAAACATGACGAGTAATGTGCTCAAATATCGTTTATGAATGGATGACAACAAATGGAACAACATTAAGATATTTTAATTTGCAACTAATTTATTTTAAATACAGTGTAATGGATTTAGCTACATAAATAGCTGCCTGATGATGGTCGGATAGGGCCGAAACATGTAGCAAAGAGGAGTAAGGTAAGGTAAATTTGTCCCTGTGCTTAACTAATTAAACACAGCGTATGGGGGAGCGGATGTATAAATCCACATTTTCTTGACTTTCATACTAGTTTGAGGTGAGTGGTCAGCTTCACGCCCCGGCCGCTTTACCCCTGGGGAAAGAGCCCCTGGTACACATTTGATAGGACATTGGGTGGACAACAGAGCCGGTCTGGATATGGAGAAGTGAATTCTTGAACCCAGCAGGACTTGAACTCTGACCCCTCAATCATCCAGCCAGTTGCCAGTCACTATACCGACTGCACTATCCCGGCTCCCTACCAGAAAGGAGTAAACGAAAATCAAGTTGCATTTGAGGCAGAAGTATAAGGGGATCAATATTATATTTCCCTGAATGGAAGATGAGTTCCCATTACCCATTTTAAGAGTTACAAAACTATGGGCAATCATCATCAATTTAAATACATGTACAACTGTGGCATATTTGCTCAAGGCAGAACTGTGAAGCCAGCAGACACTGTTGCTAGGCAATGACTCAGTAGCGACCACGTGATCACCCCAACAGATATGAATGCAACAGTGGAGTAATGGTGGGAAGCTGTGTTTTCTATGTGGTCCATGCCGAGGTGTTTTAAGCAGGACCAGTACACTACTGCAGTGAGACTTAGGCCCCTTGAGACTCTATCTTACATTGATTGGACAGAATATCCCCTTCAACAATCACTTAAAATACCTGGCTGTAATCTTCTATAAGAGAATTTCATGCAGATTACATATAGAAATGTTTAAACCAAGTCCTTCTGAACATTTATTAGAATCTACTCCCTATTCAGAAGTGAGTGTTTAAGCGCCAATATTAAATTAACTCTCCATAAAGCACCAATTAGATCAGTAATGACTTATGCATGCCCATCCTTGGAATTAGCACCCAACATCTACCTCTTTAAAATTGCAGCACATGCAAAACAAAGCTCTCTGCACCACTAGAAAATTTCCAAGGTGACACCAGTCCACAATTTGTACACATGGCCTTCAACCTTCCATAGGTATATGATTATATAACAAAATTGGGCAGGCAAGGAGCAGAAGTCATACAAAACCATGAGAACAAACATTCACAGTGTAGGATAAGGCAAAGCCAGACACAAAATGAAAGAGGCTTAAACTTGGCCCTGGTCAAGATTACGACGGTTCAAGTGACTAAGCTGCTATTGTAGCATAATATATATAAGTTAAACATGATCACCTTTACAAAGCCTATATCAACAAAGGAATTTTATGTATATAATGCGGATAGAAGTGACCAGAAGACGAGGAAGAAGATATAAGAAGATGCTGGATGATCTTGGGGACAGAGGAGGATATTTTCATTTGAAGGAGAAAGCTCTAGATCGCATCAAGTGGAGGAACTGTTTTGGAAGAGACTGTGGACCTGTCGTCTCGATAGATTACAGATGAATGAATGAATGAATGCAAAAGGATAAACTTTCATTTACATGCTGTGTCTTGATACACATGCTTGACAAAGGGCCAAGCATATTCACAAGAGACAAACAGGGACAAGAAAGATTCATAAAAAACAGTCACTGGTTGTTAGAACAGCTACATATTAACTGACTATATAACCAACATAAAAAATACCATGAAACAACTGGAACCATTTACTACAGGGGATGGACAAAATATGGAAACACCCAACAAAAAACACATTACCGTGACTAATATGGAGTAGGATAACCTCTGGCTTGCAGAACTCCTTGCAGTTTCCCTGGAATGCATAAATAGAGGTCCTGTATGATTTGCAAGGGAGTCTTGTACAATTCTTCCTGCAAAACATTGGCAAGTTCTGTAACGATTATGAGGTGGATAGTGTGCATGCAGATTGCTCTCCAAAACAGACCACAAAGGCTCAATAATATTGATATCTGGCGATTGTAGGGCCCATGGCAGACATGACACTTCATCTTCATGCTCAGAAACCAGTCCTGGATGATGTGAGCTGAGTAAACATGGGCATTGTCATCTTGGTAAATGGCATCACCATTGGGGAAAAAAGTTTGCAACATGGGATGGACCTGGTTGCCCAAAATGATCACATAGTAGCTGGCAGTGACGTGACCTTGCAGGGTAATGATGGGTCCGACAGAATACCACGATATGGCTGCTCATACCATGACTGAACCCCGGCCATGTTTCACTTTTGGAAGCAAACAATCTGGATCCTAAGCTTGGGATGGTGTTCTCCAGATGTAAACTCGGCCAGAAGTCAGAAACAGTGTGAAGGTGGACTCATCCGACCAAATGACCATCTTCCATTGCTCCATAGTCCAGGTTTTATGACTTCGGCACGACACTGTCCTCTTAGTGGCATTTTGATCACTGATGAGTGGCTTTGGAAATGCAGCTCGTCCAGAAATACCCTGCTTGTGGAGTTCCCTTCGTACTGTTTTGGTGCTGACAGGGTTTGTGAGCGTGACATTCAGTTCAGCAGTCACTTTTGCAGATGCTGTCTTCTTATTTTTCGTCACAATCCTACACAATGTTCGTCTGTCTCGATCACACAACACACATTTCCGTCCACACTGGTATTTATCGGATGCGGTTTTTCCAGTCCTCCTGTGTGCAGTCATAATCTTGGATACTGTGCCTCACAAAACACCAAAAACCTCTGCTACCTTGGTTACGAAAGCACCCACCATACAGGCCCCAACAATTTGCTCGCGTTCAAATTCTGTTAGCTCTGACATGATGCACTAGAAACTGCACAGAACACTGTCTCAACAACAAATGAAGCTTGCAACGTATTGCGGAGGTTATGCAGGTAGTGCTACTGGGCAGATACAACATCGTCACCTACAAACATCGCTAAAATAAACACTTCAATTCAGGCATACATTTCACGAGGTGTTTCCATATTTTTGTCCATCCCATGTACAATACATGCTGGAAAAGACTGTACGGCAGCATCTACAAAAGCGCACAAAATGTGTCCATTGTAACGAACGTACTTTGCTGAGGACACCACACACTTGCAGAATGTGGTGCATAGTTTTCTGTCTGTAATGGAGCCAGAAGAAAGCGTAGCATTCGCCTCTCTTGTTTATTTCTACAACGAACATATAACATTCGTTACAACAGATGCATTTTTGTGCACTCATGTAGACGCTGCCTAAGGGGGAGGTTGTGAACATCAAAGGGTTCCTGATGGCTCCTGCAGAGGTGCACAAAATAACAGCACTGGTGATAATATGGATAGCAAAGGCTTTGAGAACCTGGACAAGGCTCACATGGAGAATCTTCTCAATGTGCACTCTAAAGAAATGGCTGCAGAGGACCTGGAAGAACTTATCGAGACGATGATGATGATGATGATGATGATGATGAGAGCAAACATACAAACAAGCTGATTCTTGCTCTGAAGTTGCTATATGAACCTCTGCCAATGGCCAGAAATGTTGCTAAATTGTCAGTTAAAACAGATTCTCTCCCACAAAGGAGTCTTAAAATAAAAGAGAGGGCTTCAGTGTTTATTGCTGCCTGATAAAGAAGTACAGGAGGGCTTGGCAATGAAAGATACAGCAGCCATCTGTTACATGTAACTACCTGACATCAACCCTGAGCCAGTTGACTGCTCAGGCTAGCAGATACAAGTCTGTAGATGCCCATGAGCAAGCCATACACTACTAAAGTTACATTACGGCAGCAGTACGTACTTTCTTTATTATTACCATGTTACAGCAATTTCTGATGTTTCTCTATATGTATAATGGGTATAAACAAAAGTCATTCCTTGTATATAATTTACTTGTTCATTCTGAACCTTCAACTTCTGCATACATATATTTAGAGGCCGGTTCTTCCTGTGCCTTATTCCCAATAAAACCAGACCGTTGCACAACACTCTTTTGATATCCACAATAAATTTCAACAATCTAACTCCAGTGTTAAACAATGAATTACTGCAGCTTTTCTACATTGCACATGTACCAAACACTGAAATGTAAAAAAATTATTTTGGAAAATAATAATTTCAGGGTGTCAACAATACTCCATTAGCCAGATTCTTAATCCTTATGTCAGTTCAAGCACATACACTGTGTTAGTCCATATATGTATTAGGCACTGCCTTGCATTCATTCTAATGCCGTATGTACAACAAGCGATAGTGCATGTACACGCCATCTGTCATACACAATTATAAAAAATGGATCACTCTTTCTGTTGCTGCCCTTCTTATTTTTCATATCTTTTTATAAATGGTCAGGGTGAACAAACCAGCATCAATAACCAATAAGTTCAGCCAGCTGTTGTTCATTTACAACACCGGAACAATTAAAGAGTGGCACATTAACGTACATTGGCACCTCAACATAGGATAAGAACCCTGATCACAACCCCTATACTATTTGTATATGTTCACAGCAACATCAGAGAAAATTTGGTGACTCCAGTGAAAAGGCATCAGCAATAACAATGTTTCCCAGGCCTGCATCAGAAAACATATCACACTAGTTGAGCTGCTATTCATTACAACTTGTCCAGGAAGTGAAACTGTCCATTCTTCTCCAGGCGAGAAGTCAAAATATCACAGCCATTCTCTGTCACTAGTAGTGTATGTTCAAACTGAGCTGACATCATACCATCCACTGTAACAGCAGTCCATTTGTCTGGCCACATTTCATCTCGCCAACTGCCTGTATTGACAGAAACGAATACAAGACAATATTCGAGAATTATGATATACCATACTTTTATCAGGCAACAGAAAATATGTTACGGTAAGCAGAAGACAGACATAAAAATACTTTTTACAGTGCAACCAACAGATGTAAAATCCAAAAAAAATATTCAAATTATGAGTGGAGAGTCCATTTCCACCCTTGATTTTGCAAAGAATCTCTCCCCCTCTGCTAAATCACTCCCTCCTAAATTTCCCTCTTGCTGTCATCAATGTTTGGGGGGAGGGGAATTCTTTTTTTTTTTTTTTTTGCTGCCAGCATCTATGACTGAGTGCCAACTTGCAGGGTAACTGGTGTATAATGAATTGGGAAGGAAAGAAGTGGGCATGGTCTATGGAAGTACTATCTCAGCATCTGTTTGGAGGGACTGATGAAGAACATGAAAAACATCAGTGTCCTAGCCAAGAATCAAACTGGACACCTCCCAAATATAAGTCTAATGTTACTGATACAGCAACCTCCTTGGTTTGCACTGTTGTTGAAGATACATGGACACACTTCCACAGTGCTCACTAAAATAATCCAATTTCAGCACAATCTGGAAACTCAGTTTACCCTAGCAGTAATGTCATTTCCTTATTGGAGAAGGGGCTGGAGAAAGCTGTGAAAATGTATGCAGCATGGTGATACAACCCCTACAGCAGGTTTTAGATCCCCATTATTTTGTAATAATACACCAACATGGAGCTGAAAAATCTTAGAAATAACTGTTAAATAAATTTACACTGCCTGCTCTGCTGACATGGAGGTGACAAGTTCTTCCACAACACTGGTTTACTTTCAACAGACTACATTCTGTTATACCCCAGATGATCAACACTGCCACAAAAACCTCAAAACCTATGCTTTAAAACTTAGTGCCCCATCTTGGCACTTTCTCGATAACTGACACTCAGTCCTATTCAGCAACAATTTTGGTTAAAAATTTGAGTGAATTTTACACAAAATGTAGGTTTCATTTGAATCTGTAGCAACATTCATTTCTACCACTGCTTGTTCTCATTTCTTTGGACCACCAGACATATGGAAACAATTTCAGACTCTGGAATTCAGCAGTATGTACACTCACCTTGTGAGATCATAGGTTCTATTGTGAAGCAATGGCCTGGCTTCATTACACCCACAGCTTTGTTTTCTGGAAAAGGGAAAAGTAAAAACATAAAGTACCCTTTCAAGATGAAATCTTTACACAGATCATTACTGCAAAATTTAAAGAAAACTGGCATATCCAATGTGCATAAGATTAATGGCATGACTGTTCGGGGAGCAAATATGTGAGTTACTGTAGTGAATGCATTTTGTGTCCAATTCAATGAATGGCACTGTGTCAAATGCATAAGTTATACAGCTCTGAATAAGAAATAATGATACAAATGGTATCACCACAAACCCATTTGCAGGCAAACCTTCCTCACCTCCTCCAAAGAAAAATGGTGTGTGCACACAATTTCAAAATGGATATTTAAGATCATCTTCATGAAGGGGACCACCATCTGGCTTATCAATGGACGGTCTGCCTCATGGTCCATGTCAACTACTTTTAACAGCCCATACTTCTCTGCCCAGAAAACCGCTGAACATGTGTCACTTTAATAACACCCATACACATTGGCATAAATCTAACTCAGAAGATTCTTCCTTTAAGTGAACCTACTGGCATAGTGAGGTATGCTGGGTGCTGTGTGAAAAAGACGGTGGATCCCGTGTCCACAATAACTGCGTACCACAGAAAATCCATGGCTCTGTGCATGCTTCTGGATCACATTTCCAATCTCTCTGTATTTTTCTCCTGGATGCACTGTAAATAACAACTGAGATTTGAAAATTGTCAGCAGTGCAAAGAAATGCTTTCACTGTTATGGAAGAAATAATAATTAGTCCATTATACACAAGCCATTATTCACTAAACAGTCCAAATTTGGGTATCAGTGCAATACTGCACGGACATATGTACATACACAGGCAGGCATACGTGCACACTCACACAGTCACCCACTCACTCATGGAGCTGAGCCCTTTGAGAAGTCACAAATTGTCCAGCTAGTGAAGAATTTCCCAGCATTTTATGGAACCCAAAGGTTCATTACCATGTTCACAAGAGCACTCCACTGGTCCCTAGCCTCAGCCAGATTATTCCAATCCATAACATCCCATCCTATCTCTCTAAGATCCATTTTAATATTGTCCACCCACCTATGTCTTGATCTTCCTGTGGTCTCTTTCCTTCTGGCTTTCCCACAAATATCCTATATGCATTCCTCTTCTCCCCCATTTATGCTACATGCCCTACACATCTCATCCTCCTTGACTTGATCACTCTAATTATACTTGGAGAAGAGTACAAGTTATGAAACTCCTTATTACGCAATTCACACGCACATAAAGCGTCTGAAAATTCAAGTCTAAAAACCATGCCACTCATTCCTTGATGAACACTGCAATGAAAATATCTTGTCATAAAATTTCAGCCAATCCCAAAAATGCAATTCAAGTTAACCTTTAAACGCCAGACTTTTGAAATGGTAGTAAGCTTGAGCTGGCCGGTGTTTATTATTATATGCCCATACTTACTATTGAGTTTAAATGTCTGTTCCTGTTAGGGTGCTTAAACAATTTTAAGCATTGTGTTTAAAAATGCTGTATCTAACATAATTTTTATGATAAATGAATGGAATTAACTTTGTTTGTATTAGCAAAGAACATAGTGTCGCATATTATAACAGAAGATTTGAAAATTTTTGTATAAAGAATTATACTCTTTTTTTTTTTAATGTTTTTCTTTTAATTTTGATATGTACTGCAAAAATATTTTCCCAGTTCTTCACAGAGTTGTTCTGCATTACAAATTCATTTCAGTTGGTAACACTTGACAAATTTTAGCAGACCCTGGTGTCATAAAACAGATGGAAGCAATAAAATCATTTGGTTCTCTGCTGGGAAACCTTACATCTTGTTACACCCTTCAGATTTTCAAAACTTTTGACTAAAGGACAGAAGAATGAAAGACTGGCTATTCAAGAAAAAGAGCTAGGGGGGGTCCCTTCTTCGGTGCTAAAACCTTCCGTTATAACTGCAAGAGATTATTGACCTTTCTATGGTCGTGAACAGACAGTTGTATCATGGCTGAGATACAGAGTGCGATCTGTTTTCTGTGCGTTCATAGTGACATCAAATTCTGTAGTTTCATTTCTGCCAATATATACATCAAACAGATAACAACAAAAAAGATATGTACATCGAATTTTACTTTATATTTTTGACACATTAATCTGCAGAATCTGCAATAAAAATACTAGCTCGTGGATGAGTTTGGGCATAACCCATACGTATATTCTTCTTTTCTGTTGTTCACTTGGGTATCATTTTAATTCCTCTATTAGGGTCTGTCTGGTAATTACTACACATAAAAATATATATTTAGGACTGTGCATGCGCTTCTACAAGCAATGTGCGCGCGCTCTTCCACTAGCCTAGTTTAAATGCCTGACTGGCCAAAACGGGGTACTTTGACCACGACTATACTCATCACTGGCACAAACGGGGCACTTCAGACGTTAAAGGTTAAATGTAATGTAACAACACATTATCAATATTCATACCTATGAGTTTCTGGGTTCCACCACAGTGATTCCTTGACAAACACAGAGATGAAAACGTTCCATGTAAAATTTAAACTGATGCATATTTCTTGGCAAAAATCCCATTAACCTTTATTGTCCAGATATAAACATAGGCTACTATGGTGGCTTGATTTAAACTTGGCAGTAATGGGATTTACAGTGTAAACATTGAGACACTAGATGTGCCGGGGCCTACTCAACCAACATATGCCAGCACAGCTGCATGACACACAGATGACAAGGGTTAAACTTGAATACAATGGAGTATATAAACTGGTTACTAAGTCATGGTAGCTAGAGCCGGCATCATCTCATGTGGCTATAGTTAAATATTATTGTGGTTTCATCCGTAATCATTGATTGTACTACTGTACTGTAGTGGCACCCTCTTATTATTATGAATATTTCACACACACATAGTGAAACGTCAATTTTACAATTCTGTATTTTATGTTTTTTCTTTGGTAAATTTACACACTATTTGTATGATCCCACACAAATGTTCATAATGACAATGTTAAACTTTAACTGATTTCTTCTTTCCACAATTTTATATGTTCCCTGAATTTTCATTTCATTTTTCTAGCCCTGACTATTAAAATTTAGTTGATATTACAATTTATAGTTCAGTTCTCAGAATGACCTATTTGAGGCAATGGGCTTCCATCCCTGTTAGCAGTCACAAATGATTTTTTGTTTCCACAATTTTACATATTCCCTGAATTTTCATTCCATTTTTCTAGCCCTGACTACTAAAATTTAGGTGATATTACAATTTATAGTTCAGTTCTCAGAATGCCCTACTTGAAGCAATGGGCTTCCATCCCTGTTAGCAGTCACAAATGGTTCAGTCAAAAATACTTGCTATAAATTGGCTGATGCACAGCTGCAAATGATTCATGCACAATATGTGACTTAATTAAAGCCTAACACATGTATAAGTGGTTTTCCACCTCTGTAGTCAAAACAGCTCACATGTGCTATATGTTACTATAACAGTAACTCAAGTGCAAGTAGCATCCCTCTCAAATGTCTGACATCACCCAAACAACATACTACAGCCACTCGTTGAACCACAGCACAATTGAAGACTCCGAAGATACTGGCCAGCTGACCTAAAAGAAAACTAAGAGGAACCTCCCACTGGGGAAGGGACTCATCATGTCATTAAAAAGCATCACAGCTCTTATGCCAGCAAACTAGCTTATAGAACTGTAGATTCTGATTGCTTAATAAATATATAAAAAAAAGTCTGACAAGTGTGTCAAAAAATGACCACTGCAACACAGCAACCAGTGTGTTTTTGTAAGTAAAACATTCAACATAAATCCACCCAAGATAAATTCTTAGACTTTCCTGTACCCATGTGGCTTTGTTTCATAAAGACCAAATTTTATTGTGACTACCTAAGCCATTTTTTCAAATTTAAAATACATACATACTATACATCAAAACTAGCACAACAATGCAAGCCAGCCTACTTAACAGAAAAAATTACTAGAACAGGATTTTCAGTTCATGCATTACTGTTGTAATTTAAAAAAGAATACAATAGCAAGAACAAAAATGTACTACTCTGACTAATAAATAACAAGAAAAATAAATTAAAAACCTAAGATAACAATCAAAGCTCATCTACTGCATTACAACTAACAAGAGGACAGTGAAGTATAGTGATGCAAAACTTCTGGCCACTCTGCAGACATATGTCAGACTGTGTCTACAACAAACAGAATTTCTTTATTTTCTGTAGTGGTAAGGTAAGGTTATTGCCATGAAGACACATGAGGGAGTGAATGTATAGATCCATGTATTCTTGACCTCAGCACCGGCTGGAGATGAGTGGTCAGCTTCACACCCTGACCACTTTATTCTTTGAGAAAGAGCCCCAGCACCCACTGGAAATGAGGCTGGGTGAGCCCTGGAGCTGGTCTGGACAATGTGGAGAGGAGAAAAATCTTGTCCCTATTGGGGCTTGAACTCGAACCCCTCAGCCACCCAGCCCACAGCCAGTCACTACACTGACTGTGCTATCCCAGCTCTTATTTTCTGTGGAACATATTAAAATAAACATGGCAATGTTACTGCATTTCATATCTTCATACTATTTTTCTCTAGCCTCTGCCTCAATCTTCTGAACCATGCAATGGTTCTTCTCCGTGAAGTTCCTTGGAGTCCCCCCCCCCCCCCGAAACGCCAGGATGCGAGCCGTTCCTCCTTCTTTCCACTTAAAGTCTTAGCTGACGTCAGGTCAGCTGACCTTGTCTCCCCCCCTCCTGGACACAATGCGAGGTTTCCTGCTTACTCAGAACGAATGCGTCGTTCTCTCTCCCCGTCGACTTCAGCAAGGTAACATCGCTGCTTCCAAATTCAGTTTCGTTTATGTTGAATTGATCTTGTGAAATTCTGTTTCGGCCTGTGCAGTGTCTGAAGGGGGAAGAGTGCCCTCACGACGTGATCAAGGTTGCATCAAGTCGTGAGGTTAATCTTGTGTTTGTAATTTTGGAAACGCCAGTAAGTGACTTACTGTTGTAGATAGTTTCCTTTTCATCACGACGCCATGTGGCATAAGTTAATTAATTTGCTTGGAGTTGAGTTGGCTTAAACAGCCGATCGCCCCTCAGGCGTGCAAGTAACCTGTGTATATTTTCTTGTGCCCTTAAGGCTTGCCGAAGTACAGGCTTGTGTGTCCTTAAGGCTTGCCGAAGTACAGGTTTTTTTCTAGAGAAGTCGAAAGATGCCATGAGGCGTGCCCATACTTGAGTCTGTGCGGTTAGGCACAGTGTAGTTCTGCATCAACTGTCGATTATGTTTTGACCAGTCCCTGCCCATCAGGCAGAGTACACCTGTATACTTATGTTATCAATATATACATTTATTTATATGTTTGGAAACGCCAGTTGTATTTGTGTATACTTGGGTTGTGTATTCCCTACCAGTTCGGACTAGCAGATCCGTCCAGCTTGGCCCATAGTGCTGACAGCGGTTTTCCTCTCCCGAGATCCCCTACTCGACCTTGGGGAGGCATAGTACATCATGTACAAGCAAGTCGTTCTTATGAGCCTGTCCCTTACCCATATTGAACAGAAGTTCACGGGTCTAAGTGGGTAGGAGAACTGGGTTCTTGACCCACAGGGTCAAGGGACACGGCTCACTTCCAAGCGGTCACTTTCTGAGAAATTTCTCCACAAAAATTCTGCATGCAATTCTTCTCCCTTTCTTGAGAATATATAGTAATATACCTCATCACCAAAATAGTGAAGAGCTATACATTTTGTCATTTCATAAGACATTACACTCATGCACATTTCATTTCAGAAGCTATGAAACTCACAAAACTGCATGAAAATTGTCTCACTAACATAATGTGACATGTCTAACTGTTGCTGGGCAATGGGAGGTGGAACAAGTTACCACGAAGACAGACCCTTGATAAACGGTCGGTTGCCAAGTTACGCAACAGTAAGGAAAGTGGTGTTTGTCCATGCCGAGTTGAGCCGAAGCACTCTGGTTGCTACGCAGCGTTGCCCAGCAACACCTCTGTAAACACAGCGTCATGCAACAGCGGAGCCTGTGCAGCGACTGTTGCTAGGAAATCGGTAAACACGACGTCACGCAACAGTGAAAGCTATCATGTAACTGTTTTCTGCGTTGTCAGTGCGGAAGCTACATAACGAGGAGTATTCATCAGTGTAACCAGAATTACTGGAGTAACTAGCCAGTTGCAGTCTAGCATTCGCCAGAGAGAATGGAAGCAGGAGATGTAACTGTGATACTGCCGATAGCAGTAGTTGTGAGACTGTAAATTGTGTAAATGTAAGAGCAAATGTGGAATGAATTCACTATATTCAATAAGGTGTGAAGTTATTTGGCACATTACATACCCAACACGTGACAATAGTACCACATTCCAAGTGCCCAGCCACATTAATTTACACCACCACATCCAAAACATTTTATACTTACCTATGCTGATGGCTTTCATCAAACATTCAGATGTAACACGAACTAGTTTCTTTGCTTCTGCACTCACATTTCCTATAAGAAATGTCTCATTCAAGTCGCCATGGAAACCCCTATGGTAAACAGTTACATCAACTGCAAAGATATGAAATTACATAATATAACTCTCATCTCCCTTACTTCACAAGCAAAATGTATTAACAATCCATCCAGTAGAGAAAAAAAGTCACTAACATTTTATTCTCACTTGTTACCTCATAATTTATTTTATACATTACTTGATTGCTTTGTATAAATATTATGGCATCTTTCACTTGTATTTGTTTCTGCTAGAGAAATATTTATCTAGCCTAACAGTACCATGAAAACTATGTTCACTGCTGATTTGAACATTATAAATTATCATTATCAGTCAGTAAACAATGAATGCAAGTTATGACAGCATTCAGCATCAGCATGACCAAGAAAGGAGATGTAAGAAATGCTGGGAGATGATTCTTTGTCTGACTATGGTAACTGGTGTATTCAATGTTGCATCAAACTGCAATAAAACTGAACGTAAACTGAACAGAATCACTTCAGTGAAGTACCATACTTTCTCAAATAACCCAAGCCCTCAAATAAGCCATGCACTTCAATCTTTAGGAGCACACGGTAGCATAGTTGGTTGAAGCACTATGCTACAAGCTGGAAGGTCATGGGTTCAAGTCCCGATGAGGTCATTGGATTTTTCAATTGACCTAATTCTTCCAGTGGAACTATGGCCCTAAGATAGACTCAGCCTCTAACAGAAATGAGTACCAGGAATATGCTTTGGGGTAAAGACTGGCCAGCATGTTGGGCTGACAACCTTGATGCCATTTACGAGCCGACTGTCTAGAAAATGTGTGAACCTCAACATCTCATAACCCTATGGGTCTCCATGGCCTGTCACAGGGATACCTTTACATTTTACTTTTACCTAATCTTTAAGACGAAAAAAATAGAAAACACTTTTAAAAATATGTACAAGGATTAATTGCACATTAACCGAACATCAAACATTAAAAAACATTAAATGGTAAATATTATTTCATATAATAGAACACTTTTTGTGCCATTACATTCACAGTTCCCAGGACATGAAAATGACACAGTATTAGCATTTGTTGTGGTAGTTCATCTTATGCTACTGCAACTTCGTCATATAAAACTTGCTAATTAGAAACAAAGATTATATACCTACAGAATTTTATTCTCCATTGCTTTCATCACAGTCATCGTCATCATCAGCACAGCTCACATGGTTTTCATCACCGTCCTGAATGAAACTGTCCTCTGACCCACCAAGGTTATTTTAGGTGCTGCAATTTTTTAATCTCTTTTCTACCAATTTAGATGAAATATGTTCCCACATGTCCTTTATCCTTTATGTTTAAATTTTCACTCTATGTGAAGGATAATAATTGCATACCCTTTGTACTCATTTTTGTTTTCACTCAAAATCACAACGTAAAACTGGCATTAACTTGTGAATAAACCAAGATAAACTGAATCCTTAATAATACCGTGTGATGCATGCAAGTACTAAAGCTAGCAGATGAGTGGACTACTTCTCTCTGGGATGTGCCAGAGTGCTGAATCTGACAAATAAGTTGCCCTGTTAACTTTGATGAGAACAATCCACACTCCAATTTCTGGCATGAATTTTTTTTCCTGAAAGCTGTGCATGGGTATTTGAGAAAATACAGTAATAAGTTCATTACACTGAAACCTCAATTCAGTGTTCTAGATTTTAGGTTCAATTTCACTGATTCCAAGTCAGTAATCTCAGAGATACATTTCTTGTATTTAACAGTTTCCTGAATTTGGGGCTTAGAGAATTTAAATTAAGGTTTTATTGTACATAATGTTTGTTTCAGTTTCCTGCAAGCCAAAGTAGTTAACAATCCTTTCAAATGTGGTATTTAAATAGCTTGATAATAAATTTGCAAACACTTCAGTCCAAATAGAATCTGTTAATAATTATAGCTCCACTGTACATCATCGACTTCAAACCTGTCTTGAATTTGTGTAGCAGAGTTTATTACAGTTAATGAGGTAATTCAACAGATTATTACTTAAATATGACTTTAATTTTTAACAGAAACAGTATGTACTCGTAATATGTCAAAACACTGAGTTTACCACCATACAATTTCTTGAATATTCAAAAGCACTGATAACATAATTCTTAAATTTTACCCTTATTCTTAAAGATTATTAGAGGGCCAATTCAGACAATCTCTATTTACTACCAATTTCCTTTATAACCACACACTACCTTAACAGGAATTTATTACTTACAGAATTACATATACAAATTATAGAATTATTAAGCAAAACCATACAAAGAATCACTTCAGCTAAAACATATTGTGATGCGTTACCTTACGTCCATCACCGCGACAACCGCAACAATCGGAATGGACACTTTCAGGATAATGAATACGTGGAAACTGTGGAGTTCCCACAGCGACAAATCGTAGCAACGAATTGTCGTTGAGTAACAACGGATGAGACGAAACACATTACCGGTGTATTCTATAAGAAGTCAAGTGATACTGCGAGCGATAATTGTAAGGTGTGTAAGAGTGAGTGTCCAATAAAGATTTGCTAAATCCAAGACCCATGTGAAGTTATTTGTCGCGTGACATACCCAACACGTGGCAACTGGTGTCAGAAGTGGGATTAATCAGAAGTGAGATTCAGTTTGGATTCTGAGACGAATTTGGAACTTATCAGACTAACGCCACCTCGAGTTTTATAACGTCACACGAGCTAAAATGGAGTCACAGCAGATGACGGAACTGCTGCTGAAGGAAATCAGAGCTGGCCAAGAAAAAGCGGACGCCAGACATGAGGCCAATATGAAAGCATGGCAAGAAGAGATGGCCGTAATGAGAGACAAAAGTGTGAATGACAACCACAATGAGACATTGACCTGCCAAGAGATGGAGGCACGTCAAGAAGAGAGAAAGCCGACCTCACTGGACAGGAAACCTGAGGCAGCAGAACGAGAGGTAACCATAGAAGACGCCGAAGTAATGCCGGTCCGAGAACCAAAGAAGAAAAGGCGCAAGGACCAAAAACTGGCCGCGGAGCACCACTGACAGAAACCAAAGGATTTGACACAGGAAAATTGTGGACCCCCGAAGGAATTGGCCATCGCCCGCAGAGGGACGAACCACCATGCAACAGTGGCATGGCAAAAGGAGAAGAAGAGCGACATAAGGATGCCCCGTCACACAACAGTGGCACAACGCAAGAGAGACATCATGAAGAAGAATCTTGCTCAGTGAGCTGGCAGGTTCCCGAGGAAGCGACTGGTCACAGCCGACAAGATGACCTGCTACGCAAATGTGACACAGCACAAGAGACTCAGATCTCAGGGAGATCAGTTGGAGTCACGCACAAGCCCACATAAGGATGTGTCAAAAAGGAGACATGAAGAACTTGAATGTGGGAGAACGACAGGAGAATTTGTCGTGAAGGGAAAAGAAATAGAATGACTCAAGACAGAGAGAGAGAGACAATAAGGAGATTAAGAAGGCAATTCGAGGTATGTCCACGTGCACAAGCAGACGTGCTGCGCAGAACTGCAACAAATACAGACATCAAACACTGGACACTGGGGAGGGCTCAACACCCTCCAAAGCGAAAGAAAGGAAACGGCCCACGTGGGAGGAACCGGTAGTAGAAACACTGTGGCAGGCACTCTCGCACTTTTTTTCATAAAAAAAAGTCTTACATATTTCTATTCCTTTATGGATACTAGAGTTCTGACAACATAAATGACTGGTGTACTTACCATTACAAATGTCTCCATCTTTGAGAGGACGGAGATCAGGAATTCCATGGCAGATAACTTCATTTACAGAGGTACAACACGAACGGGGAAATTCATAGTAGTTGAGAGGTGAGGGATAGCACTCCCTGTCCACGCAGGCTTCATGCACTACGCGATCTATCTCATCTGCAGTTACGCCTACTTCAATCAGATGAGCAGCTTCATCTAGGACTTCACGTCCTAACTACAATCAAACCATAAAAGCCACCGTGAGATCAACAGGATGAGAACGGGGACGGGGATGTGTGGATGTCACTGCACAAGCATGCGTTGGAATGCAGGTCTGTACAACAGTATCATGACAGCTAGAAGGTTGTGCAGTAAACATGTAACACTGGTAGGAAACTGAACATAAGACATGATGGTAGATTCTAAAGGGTTCTGACGAAGGTGGATGACACAATTACTGGGTTTTGGGACTTTTTCCATTGTCCAGAATTCTAGGTAATAGAGGACATGTCATTTCGGAAACTGGATCTGTTTCCGTCTTCAGATGAGAAAGGAAGACATCTACTCAGTTGGGTCCCTTAGAGAGAGCTAGTGATTGAGATTAGCTCCTTCTAAGGGGCCCAACTGAGTAGGTGTCTTCCTTTCTCACCTGAAGATGGAAACAGATCCAGTTATGAAATTTCGTGTTCTTTATTACCTAGAGTGTCCTCTATTACCTAGAATTCAGGACGATGGAAAAAGTCCAAAAATCCAGTAATAAAACATGTTTACACTTATTCTAACCGTCTTACAGTGCATACATTTATTCACCTTACTCTTCTTTCTTGCACTACATGTTTCAGCACAAAAGTGCCATCTTCAGGTGCAGTATAACACACACAATCACAGGAGCAAGACACAACACAAAGCACAATACACACACGAAACTATGAAGAATACTCCGACAGAAGAAGATAGGTGTGACTCACGTATTGAGATATGACATAAGGATGACAAATCCTGAACAGTTTTAATATTTTTGATATTTAAAATTTATCAATATATATGACGAATATATATTTTAGTTATTTTAGTATAAAGACAACAGGGCATGCAATGAAGTAGTTTGACGTACATCGAAGAGCACCTGAAGATGGCACTTTTGTGCTGAAACATGTGGTGCAAGAGAGAAGAGTAAGGTCAATAAATGTATGCACTGCAAGACGGTTAGAATAAATCATGGACATAAATCAGTGCAACAGGACACTATAACATGTTTACACTTATTAATGAAGAATATGTAGGCATACACTTTGTATGGGTTCTGTAATAGAAACACTACTGCTGCTGTTGAGGAATATCAGACAATTTCAAGACAAAGAATCTCTGATACATATGTACCCTGCACTGTATACTGACAACTGCAAGAAGGTTGGATGTTTCCCACTGTGTTGTCACCAACGAAACTTGCTCATGAAACAAAGATGACAAAAATAACGATATTGTAATGGTGCATAGCAACTGACATAACAAGTACAGGGTGCAGCAGCATAATTTGATGATTTGAAGAGTCAATAAAACAAAAGATGTTATAGGTATCGTTGTAATTATTTTTTCTCCATATTCTACAACATTGGAAATTTACGTTTACTCTGTTTTAAAATTTGTATCCAACAAGCGGTGCCCCCCATTGGCGATACACTGATTTGCCTGAATTCTGAAGTGTCAGTTGACTCTTTCCAGCATAGTGATGGGTATGTTGGCTATGGCTTGGCGAATATTCTCCTTCAGTTGAGCAAGGGTCCTTGGATGATCAGTGTACACGAGGAATTTCAGATACCCCCATAAGAAATAGTCACAAGGGACTATATTGGGTGAGCGCGCCGGCCACTGAAGATCGCCCCTCAAAAAAATCAGGCGCCCGGGGAAGTGTTCCCGCAAAACACACATTGCAGTTTGCGCCATGTGTGCCATGGCTCCATCCTGCTGAAACCACACATCCCCAACATCAATTTCGTCAAGACTTGGCAAAAAAAATTCTTCGATCATTTTCACATAGCAAACAGAATTCACTTAACTGCAACCTCATTCTCTTCAAAAAAGTAGGGACCAATAATCCCTACTCTCGACAGTACACACCAAACAGTCACACGTTCACAATGAAGGGGCCTCTCATGAAGTTCTTGGGGATTGTTATCACTCCAGTAGCACATGTTTTGCTTGTTCACACATCCAGAAAGACGGAAATGAGCTTCGTCACTAATGAACACAAGTGCATCATCAGGCAAAGTTTCAAGGAACGCTTCACATGCATGTTGCCGAGCAGCACAATCGCGTTGAGTTTTTGCACCACATCCAACTTGTAAGGACGAAAGTGGAGGTCATCATGAAGGATTCGCCTCACAGAACGATCAGACATTCCAAGGGCAGCTGCATGCGTGCATGCCGAGCGCCGAGGAGATCGCAAAAAAGACTGCCTTACCACCTTGATGTTTTGGGGTGATCTGATGGGCCGTTCCCCTGATCTTCTCTCTTCCACACTGCCAGTTCTCCTAAATGTGTTTGCCCACGTAACAATTGATTGCTGGCCAGGAACACGAGCTCAGGCGGAAATACTGAAGTGCGCGCAGAATGCTCGCTGTGTGGCGACAATTGAGCAACCGTTAGCAAAGTAAGCCTCTACGGCAAACGCGCACTGTTCCTTCGTCCAACCCATTCTCAGTACTAAAGTGGAAGGAAGAACAAACTTCCTGAACAACCCGCTCGAATGAGACCATCCGCACCCTCTAACGGCCAAACCTCACTTCCTGGCACCAAATTCAAATCAGCAAATTATGCTGCCGCACCCTGTACCTAACAGACTGCCACTTGACCCGGTGTTCCACACACCACAGCCTGGCAGATGTTAAACTTCTTAAGTCTCCTCCTGTAATTCAGCACCTGAAACCTGAGACTTCAGGACAAAGTTCAAATACTGCTCATGAGTTAGTGACACACCTGCACCTTCATTAATCTATCTTGCTCAACGATAAAGCTTGGTTTACCCATTATGGGCTAAACAACATGAAAAAGTTATCATTCATGGGTAGATGTGAATTCACACGGTATGGTGAAGTGAATTTTCAGTATTGGTGCTCCACCAACATATGGTGTGGTGTAACTGATGGCCAGTTCAATGGACCATTCTTCTTGGAAAACAGGGGATTGGTACAGTCTATGCAGTATTTCTGGAACATGAGCCACCAGGCCTATCAGAAAATGTGCCTCTGGAAATGTGGGCTCGAATGCACTCCCTGCACGATGAAGTACCACCACACATCAGTTGACATGTGACACAGTACCTCAATCCACCTTCTTGGTCCGTGGACTAGCCGTAGTGGTCCGCAGAACTGGCTAGCATTATCACTGGATATCAAGCCCTTTGATTTCCATGTGTGGAGGCATATGAAAAGATCCTGTTTAAGATTTATTGTATCTGGCATCCTGTAAGAAAATCCTACAGCAGATTATAGGGGAGGACACTAAATAATCCTTGCACTAGAATTATCTTCAATCTTGAAAATTCTAAGTGCTTCAAGCTAGAAAGGGTAAATTTCTTGTTCTAGTTCATGTGCATTTTCATCATTCATGATTTGGATTGTTGTAGTTCCCAGTGTTTTCCCCAATCTTTCTGGGGGCTCTCTTATGACTAGGCATCCTCCAATCTTACCAATCCCCTGATAAGAGTCCTCCTGTGTCAGGGTCCACTGCTTCCATTCCATTTTGTACATCTCTCAGTGGGTAATCTATTCAGCTTCTTCATTTCTCATGTTATCAGAATTCTACTGTTCCTACATGCAGTACATATTCACACTAGTGCATCCTTAATTTTCTTGTAGATAATCTGCTTCCAAACCTTCCTATATTACAAATTAGCTGCAGATTTTACCTTCTGCTATGCTCATGTATTTTGTTTTATCTATGCACAAAAAAATTAGAAACAACAGACCTTGCAAGCCACCCGCATACCCTCCTCTTCCTCATCTGTCAAACATTTGATCTGTGCACTACCCCGCACAGCTTGCTCCGAGACAGGAACCCCCTCAGGATGATCTGCATAATCAGGCCGAAGAATGTGTGCTGGCACAGTGCGCCGAGGGCCTTGTGAAAATGGTCGTAGTTTGCCTGCTCAAGGAAACAGTAATTTTTTAATGTCATGATTATTTTATATTGGAGAGCAAATCTATAAGATGGACTTCCAATCCTTGTATTGAAATTGATATCCAATACAAGAACAAGGATGGGAAGCTGTATCCTGGCTTGAATACAACATTCTAAGTATAAAGTTCAGAGTTCTGCATTTGTTATATAACTGTATGTTCATTTATTGCAAGTAAAAACCTAACTGCAGCTTATTGTGAGCTTTGTTTCAGGAGCCTCATAGTTTGATTTAACCCTCAAGAAAAATAGTGCTTGAAATGGACATATATGAAACAAAGTTATTCACATGACAATTTCTGCCAAGACTTTCATGACTAAATTTCAATAAAATCTGGCAGTGGTCCATGTGTTAAAACATGTATTTACATTAGCCTCTTCATCATATGTGTTCAGTTTATGTACTGATTATAAAGAATGATGTCTACAAACTACACAGCCATGTGGACACCACAGTCTTACGCACCTGTAAATCTATAATGTGGCCATGGATCATAATCTTCCTTCTCATCTTTTCCGTTAACACCCTCACCTTCTGCAACAAAAGATAAAATTCAGTAAACTGAAACTGCATACTGAACATCCCTTCTGTTGGGGTTAGTGTATTCTTCTTCATTCCTCTATGAGGAATATGTCAGCTTGTACAAACCTTCATCTTGTACACAATGGCCACAACAGCCCTCACCTATCTCCAACTATTTCTTCAACATGCAATTTCTCTCTTTCTTAAGGAATCCAACCCAATGCTTTCAAGCAGACTGTGGTATAGACTTCTCTGAATATGACAAATCTATGTCATTTCTTCTGACCATTTCTTTTCCTGATATACTCTCTATATCAAAACAAGATATAAATGGCCATCAAGTACAGCGAGTTTATTTCTTTGTATTGGTTACCTATTACCCCGATATGGTCTGGTCACAACCCCTGAAGATGGTCATGTGAATGGAATATGGTTCTAACAAAATATAATCGATAAAAAGAAAAAGGTGATTGTTTGCATCTTGCTCTGCTAGTGTAATCTCCTTTATCTCATTTGCACATACATCACACACTGCTACATCCATACAGTCTCACACTATCTTACCACATAAGTCAAACAATACAAGCGTCTTTCGGATGTTTCCTGTATGGTGGTGCCAACATGTAATTGTCTGATCGACTGTCCTCCCTTGGGTACTGTCATGATATACTGCAGTTGGCTGGCCTACAGCATCACAGTTCCATGTGCTCAGGATATGCTAAGTGTGCACTGGAAACCGTGCAATTTCCAAGGATATGAATGTGACGATAATATTCTACTTCTGCGTGTCATGAACTTAATAATTCTGTTTGGAATATGGAAGAATTGCCTCAGCAGTGGAAGGTGTCTACTACTGTAAATATTCACATCAATGCTGATAGGACTAGTAATTATCAACATGCAACTGTAATCAACATCAAACAAAATTATTCTCTCTGGATAAGATTACTGGGGATCATAAGCATGGACTTCAACCCAGCTTATAAGATGCTTGCCATATTTCTTTCATTCATCAGATACTAGAGAAACCATGATTATATTGGAACAGTACCTCGGATATTTACTGACTTCAAGAGGCCTATGATTCAGTTAGAAGAAAGTATTGAACAATATTCTAGAGTTTGATATAGACATGAAACTGATTAGGTCAATTAAAATGTGTTTCAATAAAGTTTGCATAGGTAAAAATTATTTCCTACTCACAGCTGTCTGGAAGAGGTCCAGGGAAAACCAAACCTGACAAACTTAGTGGTGCACATCAGCTTCTGGTCAATGCTGATGATGCTAATTCATTGCAGGAAAACATTAACATCACAAAGAGAAACACAGAAGCTGTAACAGCTCCTAGTAAGGATGCTGGTCTACAGGCAAACATACAGAAAACTGAGTATATGCTCATGTCTTTGTCTTCAGAATACAGGACAAATCCAAAATATAAGAACCGCTTATTAAGCCACTGAAAATATTGTAACATGTTTGGGAGACTAGAGACGCGGTTCAGATTGGTAACTTGTTTTATTAGATGTTCAATAGTCGTAACTACACTTAATTATTACACTATTGTGGGTTTACACTATTTACACTAACTACATGCTAATCTTCTCAGTCTATCTGCATTAATTTTCAATCTCACTGAATCACACAGTCCAAATAAAGCCTTCAGTCACTTGTGACAGCAATATGTTTGGATGTGGCAAAGGTTTACTACCCTAACTCCATTATCATTACTAATTACTCTCATTTCCAATTGTTGGCTAGAAAATGTCTTTCCTACCTACTTTATTTTGGAAATTTATCAGACACACATTCTAGTTCCTTGTAAAAGCTGTCATTCATATCATCAATTTTATCCTCTGTTGTGGCATGAACATTCAGAACAATGATACCACACCAGTGATCTCTTAGTATTAGGTACGACAACATATCACTAACAAACGCAACCTTCTTAACTGCTGATATGATTCTCTTATGTACAAAGAAAACATGTACCCAATTCATTATTCTCATTCTCCTTTCCATGGAAAAAATGTACATTCATCTGCCGATGCTGTGGCATCTCTGTCCCATCTGACCTCCTGTACTCGTACTTGCAGCTATCACACCATTAGCATTCCACTCGTACAACTCTCAAACTTTGTGCCCTAGCCATTATCTCAACAAAATGACGTAATATATTATTTTACTTACATTATGCAAACGTTTCAATATTACACTGCTCGATACATATTATTCAAATATCTCGAATACTTACTCGCTATTTTATGCAGAACCTTATGTGACTTCCAGTTTCCCTTGAAACAATCCTGAAAATAATACGGATTAGTCAGCGAAAAGTGGTAAAAAATGAATGACAAACGAATTTTCAAGAATAAACCACATTAACACTTAACGCATACATGTTCGGTAACTCCGTATGATTATAAACAAAAAGTTTCAATGATTCATGCCAAAATATGATTACAAACAACCAAGTACTTATTTTCGTGAGTGGAACATTCACCGTTTTCTTTGTAATCTTACAGGTACTGGAAGAGGACTAGCAGTATACATTACCTGGGAACAAAAATATGAGCCTTGAATTCCCAATTTTATACATGTTGGGCACTGCAATTTCGCAGCAGAATTACAACCAGGAGTTTCACACACCCTACTTTCTGCTACAACCGCTGCCATTTTAGAACCACCGGAAACAGTGCCACAGTGCCACACTATTTACCACATTTCAGACCAATAAATACCGATCATGTTACTCTCATTACTAACCACAAGCACATACTGCCACCGATTACCTATCCTAAATACAGACGGCTGCATGCATGCTCTGCAGCCATCTCTAAGTCAGAGATAACAACGACAGGAGTAATTGTAACGGTTTCTGAATCGGTAAGATTTACACGACGTACACGACTGCTCATGCTTGCAAGGTTTTACCCGTAACACACCATAGAACACAGAATAAGTCTGAAACCTTGTTATTGCAAAGGGAACTGCCTCTGTGGTCAGAGTTCCTGAATACAGATTTAGAGGTCCCGGGTTCGATTCCCGGCACTACCACATTTTCTGAGAAGTAGTGAGTCTGGAACGGGGTCCATTCAGCCTCATGAGGATAATTGAGGCGCTATTTCCTTGAAATAGCGGCTCAGGTCTAGCAAACCGAGATTAACGGTCGTGAGGATCCGTTGTGCTGACCACGAGACACCCTCTAACCGCTAAAGTTGGCACTAACTTCGCCGACAAGCGGCGGTCGCTGGGTCAGTATAGTTCGTTTGCGGACTACAGGCCACGGAGTTTGTTGTTATTGTAGAGGAATTTCAGCCGTCCGTAGAGAGTTAAAATGAATTCGTATGAAATTATTTAGCCATTCTCAATTCACCTGTACCGATTTAATGAGAAAAATTGGTTACTTAGCAAAACCAGGGTTCCTTTATGAAATTACGTCAGCATAACCTGCTTTTTTTATCACAGTCTAGAACAAACTTTAATACCAACGATGCAAAAAATATATGTGCCCTGGAATGACAATAATATCAAACTAATGACTGCAGTATCTCCGTTTTCTGTGACAGTCCCAGAAATGAAACTTATGTCCCGGACTTTTATCCGATTTGTAAAATAAATTAATGCAATTTGAAGAACAAGGCGCCGAAATAGCCCTTTCGGTATAGAGACGGACTGAGGTGTAGCCGATAAATTGCTTACAAAGTAGCCGAACCGCTACATGCTTGGAAATCAGCGATGTACGCGGCAGTGAAGGCTTTGACAGCAGAAACTTTAGTAGAAAGTTCAGTGTTCTTACAGTTCAGCAGAGCTTTATACACATAAAACTTATGTTCTATACGAGATGCCGTCGCTAAAGTCTTATGCCGATTTCTCGGCAGTTTGCAGTTAATACTCGTATTTCAACAGGACGGACGTAAATTTGTGTATGCCGTTAATCAAATTAAAAATCTTTGTGGCAGACTCCACTATAACACGGTGTTCCATCACACCAATTTGGTTTGTAATCAAAGAAAACTAAACAAATTTGAAATTTTTGAGAGCTGTAGTCAACTTCTTTAAATTAAATAGCGCATTGTGAAAACCTTTGTGTATGTAATTTAGTGCGGCGGTCGCGTCGTACACCTGTAACGTTTGGTCTCCCCTGCGGTAAAGCAAGGTTTCGGAGAAGCGAAAGTTCAACTTCAATGACTCGTTGAAGGTTGAATTTCTACAACTGGTTAACTTAAAAAGGTGCTACTGTGGCAAACTGTATCATGTGTAGTTCGATTTTGTCGATAGCTTGTGGTGGGGAACTTCTAATAACGGATCATCTCCAAAGAAAAAAGCACAAGAATGCATTGCTTGCTAAATCTCAGTGGGAATGTATGACAAATTATTTTCGCAAACTGGAACCGTCAAAACCCGAATACGACTTAGATGTTTATGCAGGTACGTATGCTTATCATGCTCTACCCCACACCACAGTTTTCGCATTATGGATTGAACAAGCCTACAGAAGAAATATTCCTTTGCAAGAACAAAGTGCAAATCAGTTGTTGGCTACGTTTATTATGCTCCTTGGGTTCCTGGAAGAGATTTCGGAAAAATTTCTATTCTGCGTTTGGGTGACGTGTGAAAGCACCATATAATTGGAGCTGGAATGCTCATACCTCAAGCACTGACCTGTGATGAATACATGTTAAACACCAAAAATGAATAAAATTTTGGGCTGGGTGTAGTGTGACAGCAACGTGAGTGTTATACACCTGATGATGGCCGTCTGAAGCCGAAACATGTAGTGTAGAGGAGCAAGCTCAAGGACACATAATATATTGTTTGCACTTGGGACAGAATTTGTATCATTATATCATGAATAAAATCGTCCAACAATTCAGGAGTCAGCAAGGTGTATGTATGCATACGGAAGGCAATCCCAAAACCACTTCTTGTTTGAAGGGCTAAAAACGTTTAAACAATTAGACAGTTACCTTTCTTCACACTTACACTTTGTTGTATCTACAACAACAAAAAAATACTCTGTGGCTTGAGCCCGCAAGCAAACTACTACTGTATACTGACCGAGTGACTGCCACTTGTCGGTGAAGTAGTACACATGAGAAAGTAAAAATAATATAGCATTTGAAAATTTTTCTATCCACAAAAACAACTGTCATATGAGTTAACTGTTAATTTCCTAACACATTAAATGGTATAGTTCAGACATTCTTGTATATCCCTAGAGCACTGGATGATATTACAGACTCAAGTGGCATAGCTCAATTCCCAATATCTGTGCAAGGTGTGGGAAGTTTGACTGTTAACTCAACTGCTTTCTATGAAGCTACATAAGACCCAGCCAGTGAGGACCTCTGTGGAAAACTGTCAGCTACTCTTGAATGACACAATTTGTTGAGGAAGAAATCAAATAGTGTGTCCACAGACCACTGAATTTTACATAAAAACCAAGGTCTGTTGAGAACGATGAAAAATAGTAAAGGTCATTGGAGCATTTCCTAACTGGTGTTCTGTTTTAACACTGTAATATAAAGTCATCCCCATGTTTAATTAAGCACTATGCCATGAAGACATATGTGGGATACATATGGATGTATAAATCCACACATTCATGACCTCTGCACTAGTTGGTGAGTGGTCACGTTCATTCCCCAGCCACTTTAACTCAGTATTCATTGGATAGGTTGGGTGGGCCCCAGATCGATCTGGACAGCAGAAAAGGTATGGATGGGTCAGGTCCCAACAATTATAATCAATAAAAATAACAATCCCTTCAAGTAGTTCAAATCTATTATCTTTTTAAATTCCGGTATGAACCTGTAACAAAGATTGAATAAGGTGTCCATTTTATTCACATGGCTATCATGCAGTTCCTATGGTTGTTCCATACCAAGTCCTCGAATTTAGTGTGATTAGCCTCTAACAGAAATGAGTACCAAGAATTATTTTTTCTGGGGAGTAAGGCGTGGCCAGTGCATAAGGCTGACAACCTTGCCATATTTTGAGCAGATTGTGTAAATAATGTGGGACCTTTGTCTCACAATCCTATTGGCCTTCACGGTCTGTTACTGACAATTTTACTTTTTTTTTTTTTTTAATATATTTTTTACCCCTAAAGCATGCAACAGTATAGGCCAATGCTGCATTTTTCACTTCAGGAAGGTGTATGCTCTTGTCACAAATGGAATAGTGCTGCAACTGTCACTGCATCACAGCTAAAACAAGTATGTACTTGTCATTCTTTTATTGATAAAACACACACCTGTTACAGCCTTGAACAATTGCAATTTGTTTCCCTGCTATCACTGAATTTTCAATCTTACTTCAGATATTTGCACTTATAACTGCCATGTACCTGATATGTTGGAACTGTAACTTGTGTGAAATATTACAAGACAGAGAATATCAAATTTTTACAGGTGAAGGACTTCTTACATGACCAGTTCCAATGGAAATGGACTGGCCTATTACCTGCCCACTTCACTTACCTGTATTTTCCTTCATTTAATTTGAGGGTACCTAATGCTGTTGTGCGCCCCCACTGACAATTAGCTTGGCAAATGGGTAGGGGATGCTGCTGTGACTTGTTACACTCACGTTGCTTCAAAATCACAAGATGTTCCCAATAAAATGTTGACCACCTTCACATTACCTCAGGAAAGTGAACGGCTTCTTTGGTGACCAGTTTGAAGGGTAATGGACCAGTATGCATGAGGCTATCAACTGCATATCTCACTCAACCTTATTTTCTGCATACAAATATCTCTGAAAATTATCCATCATACAAATTTTGCTCAAAAACACAACTTTGGAGACTGCATTGTCTCCATCTTAAGGTAAAACCTACTCAGTTGGACCCAATCAATAGAGCTAGCCCCTCTCTGGACACCTGCACCAACTAAACTAAGCACAACACAAACCATCAGCAAGAGTTAAGACAAAACATTGCAAATCTACACATGAATGAGGCCTAGCACCAGACTATTAATAGAAGTCATCACTGGAGAGATAAATTCTCTGTATGGTACAAACATAAAAAACACAAATTTTCTCACTTACTCTACAATTGAGAATAGCTTTAATATTTTTACTTCAGCTGATAACAAGAGTCTAGATGGCAAAGATGTTCAAGCTGGGTTGACTGAATGGTCTATCAGAGAAATGTGGACAGATTCCTTATATTTCTGGCATGTGGTGCTAGTTCAATCTGAAAGACCTTCACTTCTTTCCAACATATTGTCTAGCCTTCTTCATATGCATGTTGGGCTAATTTCAATTTCTCAATCATACCTTGTATCAGGTTATATTTATGCTCCTTAATGTGTACTTCTATAGGTCTACTTGTTTCGCCAATGTCACATGGCATATTGTACACATTACCTTCCCTGCTGTGCCTCTTAACTAGCCCAATTTTCATCAGTGTTCCACAGTGCATGTGTAGTTTTTAACCCTTTCATAACAATCGCCGCTTATATGCGGCGCGGCTGATTTTGTAAATGTCGCCGATTGCCGCATATATGCGACATCACACACCCTCCAATTCTGACTTTGATCGAAAATTGAATTACTTAACATTGTACATGAAATGTAGCTGTAACTTTTGACATAAATACATGTAGTCTTGGATGCCTATGTTTGCTAAAATGTCTATACAACCTGTCCAGAGAAAGTCCTGATTATTGTTCCTACATGCATAGTACTTCGATTAGCTTGGTGAAAACTGATACCGCATTTAGATAAGCACAAAACTTTGACTGCAGAATGAATGGGGCTTTGTTCTGAGCTAATACACAAAGTGTGTGCACATATGCCAGCCCATAACAGTTCGCCAATAGGAGCGGATAGCGCGAAGTGGTCAGGCAGTTACATGAAAGATATTTCAGTCGAAGGGTTGCTCTTTCTGGGAAGAAATCAATGCCACAGAGGTGTGTGGTATGCAGTAAACATAGACGGAGGAGTGACTCGAGGTTTCACTGTCAGGAATGTGATGTCAGGCTGTGTGGACAGATGTTTTGAAGCCTATCACACACAACTTAATTTCTAAGGTAATTTTGTATGATTAATTAAAAGTAGGGTATGTAATAGAAAAGTTGTTTTATACAGAGCAGTGTTCGTTTCCAGTTTTGAATTCTGTATTTCTAAATTTTTACAGTTTCTCAAAAAATAATTGTGATCTTCAGACAAAAACAGTGAAATATTGCCATGCTTTTTTGCTGAAATTCTTCAGGTCCTAACACGACTGGTGAACTATGAATGACTCCCCTTTTTAAGTGACGTGGGTGAAAGTGCAAGTAAGGCCTAGTATCAGGTTTCTAGTTTGAAAAATAAAATGAGCCCAACATATGTACAAAGGCCACAAAATATGTAGGAAAGAAGAAAAGGTCTTGCAAATTGAACCAGACACCACATACAGGATAGTCTATCTGATCTGGCAACTCAGCTTGGACATGATCTCCCATCTGAACTCCATTATCACAGCAAAGAAAAAAAAACTCCTGCCAGTGCAGATAAAATGCAAAAATTTGTGATTTTTATGCAGATACCACATAGAGAATCTCTCTCCAATGACGACTTCTATTCTGAGTACTCTGGTAGTAGGCTTCATATATGTGGAGAATTTTAATGTTTTGTCCCATCACACTTGGTTTGTGCGGTGCTTGGTCTGCATACCCTATCTTGTATTAGTGCTGGTGTCCTCTATTAATTGGGCCGAAGTGAATAGCTTTTTGCTGAAGATGGAAGACAGAATCCAGTCTCCAAAACGTTTTCAAATAAAAATAGGATGGATAATGCCCACATCTGTATTAATGTACCATCGTCACAAACTTTCTGATCTTACTTATTTTCCTAAAGTTTCTACTTTGAGGGCACACATTTTGACATATGCCTCCAAGGGCTATCAATGTGTGGAAGCTTGACAAATGAGAGCTGCACCAGCTTCATTTACATTCAACTTCCTTAGCAAATCATGAAATGAATACAAATAAAGTACATGATCTGCAACTCAGTGCCCTCATAAATCATCTGCAAAATCCTAGAGCATCCTGAACATACTATCTCATTTGAAGCATACAGAGCTAGGAACAAACACCTTTACTCAAAACAGATACATTTGGGGACATCTAAGAATGGCTCAGGTATGAAATAAATATAGTATTTTCAGCTGCCATACACAAAATGGCATTTATTTCATTTGTCTTTATTCCACATGCATTTGTATGAAATATGGCATATTAGAATGGACACAACTTTTTTGGGGAAGGCCAAAGACGCAGCAGAATTATTAGAACTCAAAAGACAATATTTAACTTCTACATCAGTAGCTTAGATAGTCACAATAAAACACCTATACACACACACACAAACACTGCTCCACCCCCCCTTAAGTTCTACTTTATAAATGCGTGAGACACGAGAATCTTAAGAAAATTAATAACTGCTACGTTATCCAGGAATCTGGGCAGATCGGAGTGTTTTCGGAAATGCTCTTTTCCAATAGACTCTTTTTCGTAAACACAACACAAAATGTGTGGAGTTTTACCACTCAGAGAAAAAACTCTAGTGGGAAAGGCGCTTTCTGGGGCCACACACATTTGCAGTAAAGGCTCATTATTGCCTTCCACTGTGATCTGTCTAGAGCCAGGCTTTGCCTTCCCCTCTTGCCTAATATATCGCCAACTACCAATCACATCCAGTTAGGGAAAATATATCACCTTGTAAAAGTACATACCACGCCGTGGAAATCAAGGGAACGTGGCCCCACGTCACTGTCACTAGGTGCTTAACTACAACCATAAAATCACAAGTACATCACACACATCCATAATTAATATATAACTTACATAAATTATTTATAAAATATTTTTATGACGTTTGTATAAAAAATCAAAACAGCTGCTTTTCAAAGCAGTCTAGAATTGTCCTCTTGGGGCCGAGTGGGGATGCGACATGGGAAGCACAAAGTCGGTGAGCTTTCTACTTGATGTGGCAGCATGTCCCATCCGCACGGCGTGGTACAACCTTAAGATGTTAAGCTAAGGTTCAGAATACCTACAAAACCAGGAGACTTCATCTTGTGTCCTGCTTGGCATGAAGCTTTAACCTCTTTCTACAGCAACACTGTATGCAAACATGTTTGAGTCACAATATATACTTCTATATTGCCTGTACGTACACAATACGAAAACAAATAGAATCACAATTTTTAAAGTGTTAAAGATGTGGAACGAGAAATGCCAAAGAGGAAGATCAGGCAGGGGACTGTTCAACTTCTATAAGCCTTACAAAATCATGCCTTCCCCATTCATCAATCAACCAGTTTCTTAGGCTGCTCCCATGGAAACATGTCACGACCAAAATGACCGTATGTGCTGGTCTGTTGGTAGATGGGGTTACGTAGATTAAGCTCCCTGAAACAAATCCATAGTTATTTTATACAAGCGAAATTTAATTTGCTTTGTAGCCACGAATGCAGATCCCAGCGAACTCCAATTTCTTTGGTCAAGCATCTTCACAATGTATGAGGGTAATGATCTCTAACCACATCCAATTATCTTAAACTTTTTTCAGTCAGCAAATTTCTCTCAAACCATTCCGTCATAAATTGAATCATGAACCACAATTTGTGACAAGTTTGTCACACACAACTTTGTAGGAAGCTGTTCTTGTAGGTATTTACAAATAAAAAGCAAAAACTCCATGGTTTTTGCTCCTCAATTATCCTCATGTACGAAGGGCGTTCTGTATATGATGCCTCCTATTTTTTGTGTTAATATGTAACGTCTGAGCTGGATGATGGTGTTGTAGTAAAGGTTGAACCTTCCCGCCAATGCACTGTTAGTGTGGTGGTCATGCGACAGATAGCAACAGCAGAGCAGTCTACCAAAATGGCGTCTGACATAGAAGTGCGTACGAAACAGAGATGTGTTATTTAATTTCTCACTGCTGAACCAATTGCACCCACCGACATCCATCGACACTTGCTAAAGGTGTATGGAGACGATACAGTGGATGTCAGCACAGTGAGGTGGCGGGTAGTGCGTTTCAACAGTGGCAAAAGTGAAGTGCACAACAAGCTACGCCCTGGGTGTCCCTGCTCAGCTGCCACTCCTCACAATGAACACCACCTCGATCAGGCCATCCGTACAGATCAGTGGATAACGACCAGGGAACTGTGTGCACAGCTTAACATCAGCTGTAATGCATTGGAAACCATGTTGGGAAAGCTGGATTATCGCAAAGTTTGTTCCAGGTGGGTCCCGTGCATGCTTACACAGGACCACAAAACTCATCGAATGGAAGTCTGTCAGGACTTGCTGCACCAGTCTGAGGCTGAAAGTGACAAGTTTCTGGAGAGCATCGTCACCGGAGATGAGACATGGTGTCACCACTGCGAGCCGGAAACCAAAAGACAGTCTATGGAGTGGCAACATCCAGATTCCACAAGAAAAAAGAAGTTCAAGACACAGCCATCGGCAGGGAAAGTGATGTGCACGGTCTTTTGGGATAGGCGGGGTGTGATTTTGTTGGATTTCCTGAAGCCTGGTCAGACTGTCGATTCTGAACACTGACTAAGCTGAAAGCCTGCATTTCCCAAGTCACGCCAGAGAAGCAGACAACCTTTCACTTGCAACACAATAATGCTAGACCCCATACCAGTTTGGCGACCACCACACACACTGCAAAGTTTGGCTGGACTGTCCTACCACATCCACCTTATAGCCCCGATTTAGCACCTTCAGACTTCCATCTCTTTGGGCCTATGAAAGATAGACTACGTGGGCAACATTTTCCAGATAATGGCGCTGTCATTGCAGCTCTAAGTGGCTAGCCTCTGCTGGTGCAGACTTTTACGAGAGCGGCATACAAGCTCTTGTACATCACTGGCAAAAGTGCATAACGAACGGTGGTGACTGTGTGGAAAAATAACTTCAAGTAGCCGAAATCTTGCTCTATTCAACTGCTTTATTATGCTTTCTGTATCTGTTGCAGTTTTCATTACAAAAATAGGAGGCATTATATACGAACACTCCTCGTACATAGTAAGTTTATGTTTTTTCACAGTAAGCAGTACTGTTTAAGCACAGCTTGTGCCACGTGCCTAGAAATTTCCTGTACTGTTCCTCCTATGATACTGGAAGGAACTACCGCTGCACTGTCACATTCAAAACATTTCCATTCCATTTAAACATGATATATACATATCTCATATATGGGTTAATTTAAAACCACTCTACACTTCAGTAGAAAGTCACATTCACAACAGCTGTCCTGCCAATTCTTTTCATAAAAATAAGGATATGAAAAGGAATAGGTCAACACTCATATTGCTACTTACTTGACAATTTTTCCAGGTCGGAGATCAAAATTCTTCTTCACAATTGCCAGTAACTCCTTCTGAGTCTTCTTAGAAGTGCCATAATCAAACAGTGTTATAGAGAGGGGTTCAGCCACACCAATGGCATAAGATACCTGTAACAGATTATTTCAAACTTTGCACATAAAGTCAGATTTTAATAATACCTATTACTTTGAATATAAGATGCACTTTTTCCACAATTTTCCTGTTGAAAAACTGACGCATCTTAAATTCAAGGAGTTGTTCACCAGTTTGCAAACTGTCAGCAGGGTAGCCTGGAAAGAACCTAACATATTCAGGGTGAGTCATCATACCACATCCCCAACTTTCAGTTGAGTCATTGCCTGACATTCTTATCCTTCAAGCGTGTTCAGTTTTTACCCATGGAAAAGCATTTTACATATCATGCTACATTCAATAGAGATGTTATTCTGCGCACTGAAAGATAGGTAATCATGCAGGTGGTAGAAAGTATACACTAAGTGTACACCATTGGCAAAGTATAAAAACAACTGTGTTAATTCTAAAAGGTTCCGACAATGGTGTATTACACTCAGAATTACCAAGTTTTAGGACTTTTTCCAATGTCCAGTATTCTAGAAAATAGAAAATATTGTAACATGTTGCGGAACGGAGACCCCCTCCCTACCCAGCAGCAACGTGGCGACTCAGGCCACAGGTGCGTGGCGGTAACGAAGCGCTCCCTCCCACTCTCCTCCGCGGCGACGTCACGCGGTGACGTAACGCGCCACGCTAACGTAACCGTAATCAACGTCCTACTGTGACGTGGCACTCATTACGCCACAGGCAAGCACTGCAGCTATATAAGTGGATGCACAGTGCGTATCGATCAGTTCGAGTTCGAGTTCGAGTTCCAGTGTGGCTACCGCCGAAGACATTCCGAGTTATAAAGTAACAGCCAGCCGACTACAAGTTGGAGTATAGCAGCCGTCGCGGAAAGAAGATCCGGACGTGTGTG